CATTTGGCTTATCCCTCCTGGAACATCAACCCTGTTACATATCTTAGTATCATCAGCAAAAAGACATACCTTACCATCAAGACCTTCTGCAATATCACTAATAAAAATATTAAAGAGAATGGGTCCAAGTACAGATCCCTGAGGTACCCCACTGGTGACAGTGGCTGCAGGGCGGGCGGGCGGCCGGCGAGGGAGCTCTTCCCCTGAGCGCTCTGCTCAGCTCCCTCGCGCGCCGCCAGCAGAGTGAGGCTGGGAGCCGGAATATGACGTCATCAACCCAACATATGAGGAAAGGGATTTAGGGGTGATTATGAATTTGCTTTAGTGCAGTATTTAAAGGACCACTATAGTGCCAGGAAAACATACTCGTTTTCCTGGAACTATAGTGCCCTGAGGGTGCCCCCACCCTCAGGGTCCCCCTCTCGCCCGGCTCTGGAGAGAGGAAGGGGTTAAACACTTACCTTTCTCCAGCGCCGGGCGGGGAGCTGTACTCCTCCTCTCCTCCTTGCTCACGACGTCATCGGCTGAATGAGCATGCGCGGCAGGAGCCGCGCGCGCATTCAGCCGGTCTGATAGGAGGAAGCCGGTCGCATAGGAAAGCATTTACAATGTTTTCCTATGGACGCTTGCGTGCTCTCACTGTGATTTTCACAGTGAGAAGCACGCAAGCGCCTCTAGCGGCTGTCAATGAGACAGCCACTAGAGGCTCTGGAGGCTGGATTAACCCTCAGTATAAATGTTTATAAAAAAAAAAGGGTTAATCCTAGAGGGACCAGGCACCCAGACCATTTCATTAAGCTGAAGTGGTCTGGGTGCCTAGAGTGGTCCTTTAACACGTTATTTCATATTTATCTAAATGATCTAACTTTATCTTACTTATTACATGTGTTAATAAAAGAGAGGCTGCTTAAGATTTTAGCATTTTCTGGGGTTAAAAGATGATTACTAACTAATATCTACTTTTGCCAACCCCTGTGCCAACTCAGCATTGCAGTAAATTCGGTGCAGTCCCACTGGCAATGAAAATCTATGATAACGTTTTAAAGCATTTTTACTCAAATTCATCTGTTTGACATTCTGTCAGATAAACAATGCGAAGATCTGCTCAGCGCTGGCGACTCTGTGAAGTGCCCACCACTAATGCCAGTCTGGGCATCTAGGCAAGCTATAGTCAATGGCAGGATTTACAATGGAAACTCCCGGCAGCGGTGAAAGGGTTCGGATATAATTACAGTTCATGTTTTAGGTTCGTGTTTCAATTATCTGCCTGAGCATAATTAATTGTGTTTAACTTAATTGTTTAACATGCTAATCCCCTGGTAATCATTGTCTTATTGGACTGTCCTTTCCTATAAGTGAGCTTAGAATCAGTCTCACGATATGAGGAAACGCACTGCAGAAACACGGCTTATGGTGTTCGTGTTCTCATCAGAATTTGTGAAAAATCACTTCTCATGAAACATATATTGGGCGGACTTATCAAAGTGTTCCGAAAACTGACTTTTTAGAGGAATCAAAAACATGTTTAAATTTATCGAGTTGTTTTAAAAAGTAGTCTTTTTATTTGTAGATTCCGAGAGATTTAAGCCCCTCCACAATTATATCCCTCGAATGATACTGCGCGAATATTCTGCTTCGCGTTTTGCTAGAGGACACCATAAAAAAAAAGGAATCCTCTACTGGTGCAAAAAAGAAAAGGCATGTATATTGATAAATGGAATGTATAATACAAAAACTAACATAAAATAAACAACACACAAACGTGCTAAAATGTGAAACAGACTGACAGAACTGGCTTCACAGACAAACTCCACAGAAAAGTCATCAAACTTTGACATATCTCACTCTGGGATTAAAAATTATAGAGAGAAGCAACCTCTGCTGAAAACCAACAAGATTAATACAATTAAACAATTAACAAACTGCAAATTGATCCATTCTGTTTGTCATTTTTAATTTCTTTCTATTTTTCATTAGTTAATTTTTTTTTTGATTTAATCAAATAAAAAAGAAAATCCTGAAATCAAAGCAAATAGATATAAATGTGCCTTTTAAAAAGTTAAAAAGTCTCTGTATTCTGTCTCTGAATATGGTATGCATTTGTAATGAAATAGCGGCGGTGTGACGCACTGGGCGTGGCTAGCTGGAATGTCATAGGAGTCAGAGTTTGTTTAGTGGCTGTAATGTTGACAGGTATGTTGTGTTTTTATCTAGAACATAACTGACACATTCTCTGCCCACCTTGTAGGCCCACACCTGCAGAGAAGAGGGCAGTCGTGCAGGTGTGGACCTACACTTGAAGAGGCTGACTGACCCCGCTCTTTGCATGGTCCTACTGCCCTGTCCCTTTCTAAATTTTGAAATCTGCCATCAACAGGTATCGGAAACCTACATTTGCTAGGACAATGACCAAAAATGCTAGGACTGCTCTGTGGCACCTATTCCAAAAGTGACCCTTATTACATTATTCTGTTTAAATCTCTCAATATTCAACATATCGGTGGCGTACACGAATAGAATACAGCACGCGAGCTGTGTTTCTTGTAATGTGTAAGATGTTTCCATTCACACTACAGCTATTGTGTATCTAGCAGAAAGAAAGTCTTTCTAGAGTCACGTTGTGTGAGTCACTGTACTTCCATTACTCTCCAGTAACTGCAAATGCTGACTGCACTGATAGGATCATCGTATTGATTGGCATTGGCTATAAAATGTGTTTTTCTAAGCCTGTATTGCTAATGGAAATCAAACTCCTTTTGTTTGTCATTTTTCAATGTTTAAAAGAGGCTTTTCTGTGAAATGTAGGTATTGAAAAGAATGTATAATCCAAATTTAGGAAATTGCAGTCAATGCCTCGAGATAGGGCACTCATGTTGGCCAGGCTTCAGGACAGATGAATCTCCATTCTTCACTACAGATCAAACATTCTATATAATAATGACTTTCCGCCTGAGATATAAATATAATGGGTAAGATAAGAGGGAAGATATGAAAAGATGTGAAATTAAATGGTCTATTAAGTGACTTCTGAATGGATCAATAACTGTCCTAATCACTAGATTTACATTGGAGTCATTTCAGCCAGAGTAAGAATTCTCCATGTAGAAACCCAGCAACATACAGAATCGGAACGGGCCAAGTTTGGGATGGAATCTGGTGTAATGTACGGATGGAATCTGGTGTAGTGTTGCATTTGACAAAATTTGGAATGCAGCCTGTATGGGTACACGATGAAACTTGTCAAGGTGTAGGGATGGACAGTGGCAAGGTTTAATGGTGGCCATTGGCAAAGTTTGGGGATGGAATTTAGCAAAGATATGGAACTGAAACTAGCAAAGTTTGGTGATGGATATTGTCAAGGTTTTGGGATGGACTTTGGCAAGGTTTTTTGGTGATGGATATTGTCAAGGTTTTGGGATGAACATTGGAAGAGTGCTGTTGTCAAGATGGAGTTGGCTAATGTGCAGAGCTGTAAGAGGTGTAGGATAGAGCCTGCTGTGAATCAGAACTGGGACCTGTCAATATGTAAAAATATAATCTGGAATGGTGCATAACTGGGCACTGAAGAGAAGCAGGAATGGAACATGGTGGAGTTTGGGGATTGAACTTGCTGTGGATCAGAAAGTGGCTCCTCTTAATGTAGAGGAATGATGAAGCGAAATGTGCTGCAGAGCCTGAACGTGTTATGAGAATGGACTTTGTTCAGTTGAGGGAATCAAGTTGAAATTCAGCAGTTTAAAAAATAATATCCATTGGATGAGCCAACTTCTAAAGCAATAACGATTTGTCAGCATTTGCCATTTTGGAGCAGTTTACCTAAATTTACTTTAATTTTTTGTTGTTCCAAATTTTCAATGAAATGATCTGCAGATTTCACAACACATGTGAGAAAATAACGATTAGTAAATCTAATGACAAATCAAGTGAGAGTTATTGACCCATTAATGTCACCAAACACTAAACCTACAACCCATTGCACTACAGTAAGGAGAGATATTGTAATCACCTTCTGTATGTCTAGATCATCCTACGTGGCAGAAAATTACTGCCTAATCTACATCCCAGAGCTACGTGGGAGAGTCTCTGGTTTATCCACAGAAACCTTGAGGAGTTTGTCATTTTGAGCGAATTATCTCTAGACCACAAATTCTTAATGACATCTCCTCTGGAACAAGGAATGAGAGGGATTTAATCCATTTCAAGAACCAGTCTTTGCAACCATTAGAATTGTACATGAAGCAGGTGGCAGAAACTCGTACGGCTAAGGAGGTGGGTGATGGATTCATTCCTCCTCTATCCTGTAACATTGAAAGGTCCGATAATGTTGTTTTATTGTCGCTGCAGACAAGTCGATAGTCTCCCAGTGTTCCATGTCCTGTTGTTATAGTAACAAGGCCAGCAATCGTAAGAGCACGCATTAACTTAGCAAAAAAAAAACGTGCTGAATGTCAGGGCATTGACCAAACTAAAAGCAAGCAGAGTGCACCATGGGAAATAGGGTCAGGCGATGGTTGTAGATCACTGTGCAGCCGTGATACACTGATACATATATAAACAGATTCCATTTACATTACACAGTATGCAGAGAAATATTATTTACTACGGTCTATACAACCTTTATTTTTATGAAACGAAACCTAAATAATTTGCCTTTTTTCACTTGAAACACATTTGTAGAATCCAACATTCTGTAATTGCTTTTTACTGGAATAGTTTTTCTTTGCACTGATCTATGTACTGCAGGTAGAATGGAAGGGATCAATGGGAAAATGAACGCACAGAATGGAGGAGATCGAGGGAAAATGAACGCACAGAATGGAGGAGAAAGAGGGAAAATGAACGCACAGAATGGAGGAGATTGAGGGAAAATGAACGCACAGAATGGAGGAGATCGAGGGAAAATGAACGCCCAGAATGGAGGAGATCGAGGGAAAACTAACACACAAAAAGGAGGAGAAAGAGGGAAAATGAACGCACAGAATAGAGAAGATTGAGGGGAAATGAACGCACAGAATGGAGGAGATCGAGGGAAAGCGAACGCACAGAATGAAGGAGATCGAGGGAAAGCGAACGCACAGAATGAAGGAGATCGAGGGAAAGTGAATGCACAGAATGAAGGAGATCGAGGGAAAATGAATGCACAGAATGGAGGAGAAAGAGGGAAAATGAATGCACAGAATGGAGGAGAAAGAGGGAAAATGGACGCACAGAATGGAGGAGATCGAGGTAGAATGAACACACAGAATGGAGGAGATCAAGGAAAAGCAAACGCACAGAATGGAGGAGAAAGAGGGAAAATGAATGCACAGAATGGAGGAGAAAGAGGGAAAATGGACGCACAGAATGGAGGAGAAAGAGGGAAAATGAACGCACAGAATGGAGGTGATCGAGGGAAATGAACGCACAGAATGGAGGAGATCGAGGGAAAGCGAACGCACAGAATGGAGGAGATTGAGGGAAAATGAACGCACAGAATGAAGGAGAAAGAGGGAAAATGAATGCACAGAATGGAGGAGATAGAGGGAAAATGGACGCACAGAATGGAGGAGATCGAGGGAAAATGAACGCACAGAATGGAGGAGATCGAGGGAAAATGAACGCACAGAATGGAGGAGATCAAGGAAAAGCAAACGCACAGAATGGAGGTGATCGAGGGAAATGAACGCACAGAATGGAGGAGATCGAGGGAAAGCGAATGCACAGAATGGAGAAGATCGAGGGAAAGCGAACACACAGAATGGAGGAGATCGAGGGAAATGAACGCACAGAATGGAGGAGATTGAGGGAAAATGAACACAGAATGGAGGAGATCGAGGTAGAATGAACACACAGAATTGAGGAGATCGAGGGAAAATGAACGCACAGAAAGGAGGAAAAAGAGGGAAAATGAACTCACAGAATGAAGGAGATCGAGGGAGAATGAACGTACCAAATGGAGGAGATCGAGGGAGAATGAACGTACAGAAAGGAGGAGATTGAGGGAAAATGAACACAGAATGGAGGAGATCGAGGTAGAATGAACACACAGAATTGAGGAGATCGAGGGAAAATGAACGCACAGAAAGGAGGAAAAAGAGGGAAAATGAACTCACAGAATGAAGGAGATCGAGGGAGAATGAACGTACCAAATGGAGGAGATCGAGGGAGAATGAACGTACAGAAAGGAGGAGATTGAGGGAAAATGAACACAGAATGGAGGAGATCGAGGTAGAATGAACACACAGAATTGAGGAGATCGAGGGAAAATGAACGCACAGAAAGGAGGAAAAAGAGGGAAAATGAACTCACAGAATGAAGGAGATCGAGGGAGAATTAACCCACAGAATGGAGGAGAAAGAGGGAAAATGAGCACACAGAATGGAGGAGAAAGAGGGAAAATGAACGCACAGAATGGAGGAGATCGAGGGAGAATTAACGCACAGAATGGAGGAGAAAGAGGGAAAATGAATGCACAGAATGGAGGAGGAAGAGGGAAAATGAACGCACAGAATGAAGGAGATCGAGGGAGAATGAACGCACAGAATGGAGGAGAAATAAACAAAATATAGGGACACAGTGGATTAGAAAAAAGGACAAGGGTGGGATTAAGAAAGGAGGACAATATAGAGAAATATAGATGACAGGCAGGAATAAAAAAAAAAGGTGAATAGGGTGGGATAACATTATGAAGGAAAAGGAGAGATAAAGAGAAAATAATGGAGGAGAGAGGAAGGAAAGATGAGGAGAGAGGACAGAACGTTGGAGTGATTTAAAAAAAAAAAAGAGTAATGGTTTTTAAAAAAAGAGTAATGAAAATGACAGAATAGAGAAAATAAGACAATATGGAGGAGAAATTAAAGCAGTTCTGTTAATTTTGTGATGTTTGTAATGGTAGAATCTTCATGAAAAGTTTGAGAAATCATGTCGCAAACTAAGATATACTTGAGAAAAGAGATACATAAGTAGGGAGTCAGGACTACCGTGTCACATGTAGAACCCAATCTTTGACAAAAATTGTCGATGGCATCTGCCATCGCATCTTGCTATTCCCCATGATGAATGATGGGGACAGGAGTGATCTCATCTGATGTGCCACAGATGCCACCTAATTGGGGAAGTGCAATATCATATGGGGAAGAAGATCCTATGGTCTTACAGAATGTTTCATAGAACTCGTTTTGCACTCTTGTGCAAGAGGGTGCGGTTAAAGGGGCCCATGGTAGACGAGGCCGCCGAGCACTGAAGAATACTGGTGATGGAAATTTGAAGATGACAAGGGGGAGAGCATCATGAAAGAATCTCTTCCTACCTACACCGCTCCAACCTCCACACTAGCAGACATGTCAACTTGTGGGGGTCTTTGCAAAAAGAAAAACCAAGTAAGGACCCCCACAAGTGACAGTGTCTCTTTAAAGTATATAAAATAGCAGGAAATGAAAGCATGGGGGAGACAACTGCATGGACAAGAAAGAAATTCAAAGAGAGGAAACGATACGAAACGAAGATCAAGGAATGAGGATAAGGTGAAGGAGCAAGGATAAAAAAGGGAGAGGAAGAGCGAGGAGAAATATAGGAGGGAGTGAGAGAAGACCATGGGGAAAGGAAGGAATAGAGGAGAAGTAATGGCAGGCAGAAATGACTGAATAGAAGAATTGGAAGAAGAATAATGATGGGGCAAGCTGCATTAAAGGGAAATGCAGGAAGCAGGATAGATGTAGATGAAGCAGAATGGCAGAGGAATAATAAAGAATTGCCATTACTTTATGTATTTTAATGCTCGCTTTGCATTGTTCATCATTCAGTGTTCTAACAGAGCTTTGGCCATTCACCTGCACAATGTTATTTATCTTATTGTTGTTAACGAGTTCTGGCTGACTGAGGATGATGGGAGTTTCAGGGCCCTGCTGAGCATGATGACAGATGGCTGGATCTGCGCCGGTTTGATTAATGATTAGCAGCGGTCTGAGCTTTGCACAGAGCTGAGAGAGGAGAAGGTGATGGTGGTAGAAATCCCTTTCAGATATTTATGAATGCAAAATGCATATTGAGATCGGCGCACATTGGCAGCACGGCTCTCCATCACTCCCTGCTGCTAATGCAGTCAGAGACTGATAGGTGTGGCCTGGGGGGAAGCTTTCTCCACTAAGCACATTCAGGTCCATTTATCAAACTCTGACTTGATAACCTGCAAGGGAAGATCTTATCCAGCCGCTGAGGCCCAGGCGTGTGCATTCTTTCACTAATAAACCTAGAAAGTGATTGTCCTGCTTCCCATTGGGAGCTCGAAGCTAGCCGCAGGGCAGGTTTACATTGATTAGCTGGCTTACCCTATAAGTCCTGGCTGAGGGGCACCACTCGGGGGCTCATTGGACCTGGCTGTGGAGAGGTCATAGGTTCCTCCTCGTATAATGCCCTTTACATTAATGCTGTAGTATTTGTGGGTGGGGAGAGTAGATAGAGGAATATTGCTGGAGTTATTAAAGGGGCATGTAAGCTGTAAGCATCAAGATGCTCTGTACCAGAATTTTACCAACGTCACATGAAATTAGGTTCAGCACCCTAGGCACCACCTACAGGTTTCTTATTCTGTTAGGGAAAAAATAACAATTCATGTATTATGCTGCAAATGCTTTATATCTCAGCTTTGGAATGTAGTAGACTTGTCAGTTTAGCTCTATGTATATAAGTCCCATATATTATGCTAGACACATAGACATACCATCTAGCGCTTTAGTCTGAGTCACACATTGTGCTATAAACATTTCAATGGTTTAAAATACCTGTCTCTCACATCCCCATTCTTTGGTAATCCCCCTGTATTATGTACGAACCAAGCCCGCCCCTATCTAGGTGTATCCACCCTTACCTGCATGACTCCCCTAATCACAGTTCTACCTGCCTTGTCTTGTCTGCCCTCCCCAACCTCTATTTGTAACCCTCCTGCATGACATCTCCTCCCTTTCTTAACCCCCCTCGCAAGACCCCTCTAATTGTATCCACCCTATAACCATTGACTCCTGGTCCCCCCTTCCACACCTTGCCTTTGACAAGCTCCAGATCCATGGGGACATGTTTTCTAAATGTGTTAAGGCTGATATCCAACAGGGATCTTGCTTAGAAACCATAATAAGTGTCAGAACCAGTGACCCAGCTCATTGTTTGATAAAACTTCCCACCACATCTACTTAATGGAAACTCCACTCAGGAAGCTCTTGTGACCGTCGTGGTCCTACAGGGTCCTACAGGGCATACAGGGCATGGTCGTGGTCCTACAGGGCATGTCGGCTGCACTGTCAATGTAACAGGAACATATACATAAAGGCTAATGGAACCATTTGTCAGAAATTGTAACCATTTTCTTTACTTTATTTAAACTCTGCTAGTTTGTTTCTACTCTGCCCCCTCCCAGTCCTCCTTGTTTGCTGGTAACTCTTCAAATGTCCTCCTTGTACTTCTCTCTGCATTTCCAAGTTCTAGTCTCACTATGAAGTCTGGGTGGCTGTGGTGGGGATGGAGTTAATAGCCATTAAGATAAGGCTTGCTTCAATATGAGAATAAATGCATTGATTTTGTTCACGATTGTGTGATTCCACCGAGGAGACGTTGACATGCCGGCAATCGTTATATCTGTGACCCGCATCCTGGAAGGTTACAATGCAATCATTGGCACAAATCGCTATCTTTAGCCCATCCAGAGCGTCAGGCGAAAGTGACCCCATTACCTACTCCCCCTTTACCTTCACGGGGTTAACTAAATGACCCAATTTAAAGTGTTGTGTGTCCACCGCACCTTGACCCAGTTACAGATTTTTTTTTAACCTGGCGTCTGCAACAGCAGCAACTGCTCCCTGCTTGGAAGGTTAGAGTGTATCAGCGTTTAGCAGGTTACAGCGTTTTTAACAAATATTAGATTACTCAGACAATGAGCCTCCGCTCCTTTCACACCATTTTTATATCATATTGTGTCTCGTGGCACGGCAGCATGTCAAGGCTCATTTGTCCCAATGAGTAATGTTCTCACAGGGCCTCTTGTTAAAACACCAGAGGGGTGTCCTCCCTCCTAATAGCTCATCTATTGTTACTCGCAATTTCTAATTTGCATATATTAGTAATGAACTTATGTTTTGCCACTATTTCACCGCATGAAAAATTTGAAATCCGACTAACAACTCATCAGAGTGTGCCATGTGCAGTCGGCTAGCTTTCTCTGCTATAGTGAATAGTGATACGGGGCAGGATGTTTCCTTGTAATATCTGTGTTATGCTATACAGTGGACGCAGTGGGCAGAGACTTTCTTTGCTATGAGACCTCATGAATTTTCTTTAAAAAAAATCCACACTCAAATTACCGCATTGGGGGTAGAATCGAGGATAATTCCGAGAATTTGCAATTCAACATTGTCTTTAGCTCCATGTCGAT